GCTCGTTCATGCAAGCGGAGTATACAATGAGGGATGCTTGTAGCTTGCAGAGGCGGCGTTTCTTCTATTTTTAGCACACGGGCTCGTCTCGCGTACTACGACGAGAAAGTGTGAAATAGTGGAGATTACTCGCGTTCTAGCAGACAGAAGAAAGTCTGACGGACATGAACTTTATGACTGATTTTCAAGATAATACGTTTCTGATCGTAATAGACTATTATATTGTTCTATTATTGCGAGGTATAGAATGTACCTACATTAATTAAACGTTACGTAGAAAGAAATTCTTTCTGGCAATTAAAAACACGATTGTTTCTACGATAAAATTTATTTAAAAACTTTACTTTTTTAAGCTACTAGGAAGTTGTAAGAAATACTGTAAGAATCTTAATTTCCTATTCAAACAATGTCACGATTATATCACACAATAAAATGAAAAATAATTTCAGCAGTTTTTACAGAACGGAAATATTTCGCCGCTTAATCATAATCGAACAATTTGATTATCATGCCTAATCTTTTATATATAAATTTATATATAAATTTATCAAAACTTGTTGTAATTATTAAAACATTTTCCTTGATACCAGATACGGTCTTTCAAAGGTCTTTTACCTGTTAATGAAATAGATCACGCGAAGTAGCGAGTATTTCAAGATATATATTTCCCTCTGCCCTCGTAATACGCAACCGTGGAATATTTATGAAGATATATGCATACGGGGTGGAAGTTTGTCAGCAGGACATTCAGACAGACCGGCATCGGCTCTTGGCTAATGGACGTGTCATCCCGTTATTAATTGCAGCCGCGGGCGACCTAATTCAGTCACGTAATCGGTGCCTTGGTTAACTTTCGACTGGTGACGCAGATAATCACTGCACTGGTCGATTAATACGAGCCATTAGGTATCGAGGATGTTGAATGACGGCTGATACCGGGTGGCATTCGATATAATCGAAAAAAAATGAAGCGGCTTAAGACACTCGAAACCAGCGACCACCGTGCTCGCGCTGATAGCGCTTCTGTCATCGTAAAACTCTACCATCTACTTCCATATGTCGCGAATGAAGGATGTATCGGACGTATTTGTGCAATCACCGAGAACACTGGGAATTATTTCTTAAGTCGCACTCAAGAGGACCCGCGTGTTCTATATACCTCGACACGTTATTGCTCGTTCCGCGGTCTGCACTCCCCGACCGGTTTTTCACTTACGATTAGATACGTAAGTATTTTCGAGGGTTCATCCGCAAGAGGCCTCTTCCAATCTGTATAGTCCTACAAAGGGCTCAGTGAACTTTCGTTGCAACAAATTATCACGCATGTAAAACCAAGTGAAAGCTAGCACGATATGTTACCGCGGAATTAATTTGGCTGCTGAAGAGACTAGATCGTAAAATGTCCGCAATTAAAACGTTGACTCATTCGTTTATTTGCCAATGCACTGGGCTCTTATCTGCTAGACATCGTAAAACCTCGCGTAAGTACACTGACTCATTTCTTTGACGTATCGATTGACATGCCAATAAGTCGTGTATCGGTCTCAACACAAAAATGATCCCGCTCAATTGTCCCGGTTCAATTATCCCTGCAATTGCAATCGTCGGATAGCAGAGATATTAATAATTAATAAGAAAATATTAAAATTAACCTTATCACAAAGTACATTGCACGTGGTTGAAATCTACATATTCTCGATCTCTCTATTCGCAATCTCGCACACTCACGTGTGATGCTCTCTCTTATCTCCTACACACTATTGAACTATTCCCACCTCCGAGGACAGGCTGAATTCATGAATGGAAAGGCTCTTGAGCCGCTACACCTCCATGCTCACGGAGAGATACCGCCCGCGTACGAAAGTTCGCGGAAGAGAAAGTCCCCGCGCGATGACGATGACATCATCGCTACCATGGTCATGGTCTCTGTCGATTCTGGATCAGAGACGCGTGCCGAATCCCAGAACTTTCCAATGACCTTTAAATACTAGAAGTTCAAGAAAGAATAGTCCATGAAGAGAAAAGTTCGAGAAAAATTAGCTCTTTCATCTCGCTTAATACTGCTAAAATATCTGAGACCTGCATTTAAAAGCAAAATAAGTTATTACAAGTTACGTTTGATATATTATTATTTACGTTTTATAATTCACAGGCTAAAAAATATATATTTTTTGTTATTAGCTTCTGTTAACCAATACTAATAGTATTGCTGAATGATTAGTTTGCGACCAACGCAGGACTCATGTTCCAACCTACCGCCTTCCTCCGCAGGAGAGAACCTACCGGTCTGCCGTTCGAACTGCAATGACTCTTGCTCGCCTTCTTCTTCGTCTAGCGATATACGCTTGCCTGTGAACAATGGGACACCAGAAAAGTGAATGACGTCACTGAATACGACATCGAATCCTGCCTTCTATGGTTTTCAAACTCGAGAGTTCGTGCCTGTACCTACGTAGATCGATTGAGATAAAGTTGTATAAAAATCTGTATACTACTTATAATCCCATATGAAAATCATACCCGGACCTTCTCTGCAAGTTCGAATGCAGTAGATATCTTTTTTGTTATACGAATATGTCTGCACACTCATATACAGGGTGTTCCAACAAGAGATAGCCGACTTGTTTTTGTACCTCGAGAAGTAAACAAAAGTCTGTATTTTTTGCATATATTTTTTATTAAGCCTACAATAGATTTTATTAGACATGGAAGACAATTTCGGTTAAATGGCCGCCTCGACTCATCTGGCAAGTATGGGATATTTTGATCAAGATTTTTATCAATTGTAATTTGATCCCATTCGACCTTTTCTTTTGCTGTGTTTAAAGGAAAGGTCTATGCAAACAACCTGATGAGGATTTAACAGCTAAAAGATAACATTCAATCAGTCCGCAAAAATAGAGTCCCAATTATGGCTTAAAGTATTGAAAAATTTTGTCAAAAGAATCTATACCTGTTGAGACAATCATTTAACAGATCATTTAGCATCGTATTCTATGTCTAACGGCATAATCTCTGTAAAAAATACAGTAAATAAAATAAGATAACAAACTTCGAGAACGTCTTCTCCACATCAAAACACAAAACAAAAATGTTTATATGAATATTGTCTGCAAACTGTTACTTCTCGTCCCGGGATCTTTAAAAGAGTGCGACAATCCATCCGATGTGTTCATACGTGTATTGAATCAATTGGGAGCATTAAACATCTGTTGTAATTAAAAATTGAAAATAAATAATATTAAATAATAATAAATATTACTTTTTTATTTTCCATTAATAAACATTCCGAGTTGTATATTAGTAACGGTGGATTTGCGGATATTAGTTCGTATAAACTTTTTTCATAGTCTGGTGTGGAGAGCTCGCCCTGGAAGTTATCTTATTTTAATTATACCCCGTATATGCAAAAAATGCAAACTTTTTTATTTATTTCTCGAAGTATTACAAGAACAAATCGGTTACCTTTTATTGGAACACCCTGTACTAGAAGAGGAAAATAACAGTATAATGTAAGATTAGATATCGCGGATAAATTACGAAATGTGCAAGTTGAATCATAATACATTTTATCATGCTTCTCGATGACTGCGAACGGAATTTCGGAAAAAATCGAAACGGATCTAAGAACCCCGACTATGGAGCGACTCTCGCGAACCCTCTCGTAATCTGTGGTTCTTTTCCCCTCATTAGGGAACTGAACGTAGAAGGTAATTGATACTTTCATAACCTGGCAGCATTCCCACCTGCGAATAGCTGAGTTTTTGCTGCAGCCTCGTTAGAGGTGACAATAAGTAGTTACCTGTTTCCAGGTAGGAACCTACCTTATACCTACCTGCCCGCTTGCCTGTCGTGGAACCTCGCGAGCTAAAAGACAGCGCAGTTGTGGGATTATTACGGATACGATTTTGCGATACTAATTTTTGCGATATGCGATTTTTGCTACGTGCGGAATTCAGCAAACGTCGAGCACCGATAAATCAAGTGACATACGTAGCTACCATTTTAAATCACTTGACAGAAAGTCGACATGCAGTTGAAAGGTCTATCGTAATTTAGAATGTCTAGTACATGATTCTACACTTATAGCTATCGTTTTTTGAAATGCTTTATCTCTCAAAATATGAGAGATAATTATATTTAATAGATTGCATCAAATTAAAAAAAAATCATATAGATTGTTTAATCGTAAGTCATGCCAAAATCAAGTTTTTCAAATAAGTACATTTACATACGACTGTTAATAAATAAATAAATCCTGTTTTCCAATCAACAATTCCGATCGACAATTCAAACAAGGCGAACCATGCATTTACGCGAATATTCCTCAAGCTCGTCACGAATACAAACATTCGTTTGCGATTCAAACACGTGTATACAACGCAGTTTGCGTTAATTAAGACTAGAAATCAAGTTAAACGACGAGACCTTTTCTTAACCAAATCTTTACTCTCACGAATAATTCCCAGTGGCATATAGTTGCGCTTTGCACACTCGATCCGCGACGACCAGCTCTTTCGCATCCGACCGAACGATCCTATCTAATTATATAAGTTATCCGTCGCGCGTCTGTGTGTGCGTGTAATACGCGCGAGAGTTTACAAATTAGCCGCAGTTACGAGATGCGTGTACACGAGCGTCGGCGCAACACTAATCACGGTGATTGCAGGGGAGTGCAAATCGTCGGCGGGATAATAATCCGTGTAATTGGTTCAGCCCCTGTCAACCTGTCTAGCTACCGGACGATGTCTTAACCGAACCGAGCCGATAGGTGTGCGTGCGAGAGACGCACGCATTTTCGCAAACTATCTCGATACCTCTGTCATCCGTATCCGTTCGTGGAATCTATTACAACCCGCGATCTTGCCTTCGTGAGCAATTGAAATCCAAGTGAATCGCGATCACGACAGAAAATCTGTAGTCATTTCGAGTTAACGCGTGGATAATCAAGCAACCATATCAGCAAGACGTAATTTATACATACGCTGCCATAAGCGTCGCATATAGAAAAACATGCAATATATGTCAACTTCATGCAACTTCAACTTTTTTTGCCTCATCAGTGCCGATATCATTAGTACCGCACAGGCACGCTAACCTTATGTGCGAATATTCTCGCACAGGCGTTCTCATTTTTCTTGCACAATTTCTTCTTTACTCATTGAAAACGTGAGCACCTTTCTCAGAAAAATAGAATCGCATCTGTCCGCGATGTTCTTGTTCCAAACGCTCGGATCTTCCTCTAATCGCGTTTCCGCCGTTCCTCGCGCGCTCGCTATCGGTGCTCTCGCAACCGTTCCCACGGGGTGACAGATCCGACTAGCGCTGTAAGATTTGCCCGTGTAGTCGGGAGGAACGAAAGAAGGAAGAGACATATTAATAAGTTATAGCGGACCAATCGCTGTTCTTTCTGTAGGTAGACCTGCGAGGCAGACCAAAACGAAACAACAATGAACAAACGCGCCACGGGGGATCGAAGATTCGCTCGGGATAGACTTTGACAACGCGGTCGCCAGTATCCTGTGTGCCAGTCGGTGGGCCACACAGATCAGATAAAAGGATACGTTTGAGGAACCGACTAACTCGATCGACTAACTTCACTGTGTGTATGCATATCCTATCATCTTGCCGCCGGTTGTTCAAATGGAAGGAAATTCCCAATAGAGAACCAAGAAGGATATATGCTGACAGAAAGATAACTGCAAATTTTTCTAACAATAAGAAAACTTATTGTTAAAAAGCGAGTTCGTTACAATCGACAGGATAAAAACCTGAATAGGATACATTAGTATTTGTATTGTCACATAGCAATATAGTTTGCTTAATAAATTTTAAATAAACAAAAATATTAAACGTCATGCAAACAATAGCTTGTAAAGAGAAAATAATTATAAATTTCTAATTTAAATTAGAAATTTATAATTATTTTCTCCTCACAAGCTATTGTTTGCATGACGTTTAATATTTTCGTTTATTTAAAATTTATTAAGCTAACTGTCGCTATGTGACAATACAAATACTAAAGTATCCTATTTTTATCCCGTCGATTGTAACGAGCTCGCTTTCTAACAATAAGTTTTCTTATTGTTAGAAAAATTTGCAGTTATCTTTCTGTCAGCATATATCCTTATTGGTTCTCTATTGGGAATTTCCTTCTATTTGAACAACATATATTCTAATTATTAAATTAGAAATTTATTTAGCCCTATTGTAATTCAGTTAATAAAAGCAGTATATATTGTGTCTGAGTCTCATTTTAAAATAACCACAAATGATGAATCAGGCAAATAAGAGTCATAAACGCAAAACTAATTGATGATCATTGGAAAACTCCACTTGAGTGGAGTTTTCCAATAATATGTAACAAGGTTTGGAATATAATTCAAAGAAGTTTTACATATTAAGTTATGCGTTTATGACTCTTAGTTGCTTGTATTCGTCATTTGTGGTTGTTTTATAATTAAGTTAATTTTAAATAAAGAGTTAAAATTTCCATTCACATTTAAGTTACATAATCGGGATATTCTAGTCCGATGTTTTCAAATGTAAATATTCATTATAAAACTTAATGAAGTAAAACTTATAAACACAAAAGTGCATACGCACAATATTGTAAATAAAAAGTATTACATCTATCTAATAGATAATCTCAGCGAATAAAATTTGTTACGATATCAATGATTTCTTACAAAATCATCATGCTTTTGTTTCCACATGTTTTCTAATTCATTATGTAAGCGCAGTAATAATAGCGTCATAATTAAGTGTTGTCTGGAACACATAAAATTATGCACAATTTTATGAAAATTTTACACAATAAAATGTTTATTTGCGATGATCAATATTGTACATGACACAGCGACAAAGATCGAGATGCAGCACTGTGCACGACTGTTGGGAAGTTGACCTAGCGTACGTGAGCAATGATGTAACTGATAACAAGATATCGCGCTGCTGAAGCTCTGCAAAGATAACTATGATTCATACAAGACTAAATGTTAACTTCGAAATTTTTGCAACAATAAATGTGTGTACTGCTGTCATCATTTAATAAAACAATTTCTATTTATAATGAGAATTGTTTTAATTTAAGCAGTTTACACGATTTACAGATTTGAATTTGCTATTTTATTTATTCAATATATATTGAATAAAAACTCAATTCTTCATTAATCTCGTACAAAGTAGATTTAAAATAAAAATCGAAACTCTTCTTTATTCAACGAAAAACACAATTTTGCTATTTTCAATTTTTTCCTCTCGTATTTTTATTTTAACAATACGCGTATGCAAAATAAAAATTTTGCAGAAATAATAAAAAAAGAAGATAAATTTTTAACAAAAAAAAAGAATATTAAAAAAAATATCTTTATCGGAAAGGGAAAATCAATAAAAATTAAGTTTGTGAATATTGAAGCGATTATAAATCGAAAGATATATAAATGTTAAGATGTATAAATATAAATTCAATTAATAAAGAATATAAACTGAAATTTATTATTAAAATAATTATAATATTACAATAAAATATTTAAAAATAATTATATATTATTTATTATAATATCAAGTTAATCCAATAATATCATAAGATTTTATTAATGTTTTGTTTTTGTTTTTCTCGAAGTTTATTTAAAATCAATTCTAGTGTTACTGCCAATTAGAAGACGGCTCCAGCAAAGAGAGGATCCTATCAAAATGACACACATGTTTGACGATGTCGATACAGGGATTCCTCTATCCAATCGTCTCGATCGGCTTGATGTCAACTTCTAAGAAAAAAAGAAAAAAAATTACGGCGCCCGGACGTAATGCGGCGTACAAGTCACCACAGGGGGCCTTATTCTTATTGGCCGAGAGCGGAGGACGCCCACAAGGTGCGCGGTTATATAGTACTCTAGTGCTATGCGGAGTTCATTCATAGTTCCACTCCAGTCTAGTCATTCATTAATACGGCGGGAGTGTCCTTACGGAGTGTGCGCTGATCGTAGCTCTTGATCACTCGAGTGACCCGCTTTGAGCTCGCCCGCGTGTGCGTGTCACACATGTGTTGCTCGTCCTATGGCACGTGAGATCGAGGAGTACAAAGTAGTCGACAAGGTGAATTAACATCGAACACGCAGAATGTGGATAGGTAAGAATGACTCACGATCAGACTCGGTTTCAGACGAACGTTCTAAGAAACAGAACCCGTCTCGTCAGAATGAGCATTCAACAGGACAAAAAGTGGAAATTTAATACGGGAATCTTATTTGTGAAAATGTCATTGAACGCGTTAAACAGCGACATTTCTCTGATCCAGTTATTTTAACAAAGATTCTTTAATATGCATTCATATTAAAAAGCCCCCACAATGTAATATGGTCATCAAAAATAATTAAAAAAAATAGTTTAATGGAATTCTTTGATCCGATGATATTTACACGATACTTAAACGCCCGATAAAAATCATCTAATATGAATAACTCATTACTTGCAATCATAATTATAACTAATAATTCTATTAATTATATTTTAATAGTTTAGTTATTTATATTGATTACTTTCTAAAAGTGAATCAGTGGAATTACCACTGATTTGCAGTGTATACTATTTTCCAGTGGCATACTTAGAACTGTGATAAATAATCAGTAAGTATTTCAATGTTGTTTCAGTGATAAAACTGATTCGAACAGTGAATATCACTGAAAGACAATAAATTTTAGTTCACAAATTTGTTTGACAGTAAAACTCACTGTTTTTCAGTGATATTTACTAATTCTCATTAAAAGAATATTAAAATACTCACTGTTTGTCACAGTTCTAAGTATGCTACTGGAAAATGATATACACAGCAAATCAGTGATAATTCTACTGATTCACTTTTAAAGAGTATAAATTAATAAAAATTATTGATATAAGAACAATTATGATCGATTAAATAAGAACGCCTTCGTATAATGTTTCGTTCTTATTTAAATCGCGATATATTGCGCTTCTTTGCAATAAACTGAGCTCGGAAGAAGTATAATTCGGACCTTTTTCTCCATTAATAGCGGCACTTCAGGAATGGTATTTCTAAAAAAAAAGTCTCCGTTTTTAATGGAACCGATGAATTTCACGGCTCGTCTCGTATCAGGGACTGGCGCAAATACACCTGCGGCAAATTGCTTACGCGGTGGTGCTTCGAAGAACGTTCGAAGTACGATAGTGTTATCCAGCAGAAATCGCGATCTTTCGCCGTTCCTTTGTTCCCGTCGAAAGAAACGGCGCTTCATCTAGCGTTTTTCTGCGACAAGCCGCGGAATGCTATGGTCGAGAAATTGGCCGGCAGTAACTGCGCGAGTGGTTTTGCACAACACGCGGTGTCCACTACCGTAGTGCACTAATTTAATGATTTTTTTTCTATCGAATCTCCATTTCTCTGTCGCATCTGCGCGCATCGCCTGTAAAAGCTGATCGGTGCATTTCACATAAATCGATCTCACTTGCATCATATTGTTTTTCGATCAATTATAGTAATAGATCAAACTCGCTCAATAATAGAAACAAGTTGACAATTTCGCAACGAATAAACGCGACTTGCGCGCGCGCGGCACACTTATCACTGTGAATCATCTTCGTGGCGCTTGTTCCATCTTGACAGCTACCTGTCAACTATCGTCTTTATCGCGATGCCGATTAATACAAGTATGATTCCGATGTTACTCGTGACGTGGCATTCGACATATTTACATGAATACAATACGAAGTATACGTCAAAATACACGCATGTATATTAATTTGAATCAACTTATTGATGGACTTAATCTTATCATGTTGTAAACGAATAAATTAAGTCGAAATCGATATATCTGTATACACACAGGAAGTAAAGATTAACAACAATTAATTTAATTAATTGTTAATTTATGTAGTTCCTTACTGTATTTGTATTATATTATTGTACATGGTGTAAATTTTAGAAATATGACAAAATTTTACCGATGAGAAAATTTAATGTAAAGAGGACCCGAGTAGGACGGTCCTTCACGTAATGTTCACTCCTACTTTACCTTTCTCACATATGTTATTAGCGTACATAAGTTTATAATATCTTTGATGCCGACCAATCGAAACGAGCAGTCAGCAATGAGACCAAACCAATCAAATCAATTGGTACTAAAGATGGCGGGACAGCAAAGAAAAAAAAAGAAACTTTAAGTGAATCGAGCCAAGGACCAAGTAGCGCAAGAGTAGAAGGCATTTCCGTTCTGCCGGCTGGCAAAAACTCGACATTACTATCGATAGTGGGATTAAACTCGGAAACGTACGTTGTGTCGACAGATCAACCAATTTTAAGAGTTAGTCGAGCGTAGCGTGAATTTTCCATTTTCTCCTACTAAAGGAGAGAAAGAGAAAGAGAACGAGTGAGAAAAAGTGAGATAGCGCCGTGTGCTCAGAAAAAGCCTGCAGCTTTGCTCGGTGCATTACATAACAGAGGGAGGGAGGAGAAACGTTAAAAGTCTGCAATCTACAGAAACTCGGGGAAGCCCACTGCTATTTTTCCTTGACGCCATCGATTCTTATCGGAAAACTTTATAACGTCAATGCAGCCGTCTTCGATGCGGTTTCGATAAAGCGCGAATACGTAAACGGGTATTTTAGATATGTAAATGCGCGATAAAGATGCATAACAGGATATAGCGTCCATATGTATATAGGTATATATATCTCAAGCGTTTATATATCAACAACCTAAGAAAATTAAAATTCAGCTTTAAAAAGATATGTTGAAGTCTAACTATATTCATGAATACATTGCGAGAAGTTGTCGCAAAATCGTAAACGCTTCAACAATTGTGAATCATTTTTTACGTTTCATCCTCGTTGCATATACACTTCTCCAGTATGACGTCTTGCATCTTCAAATATAAATTATACGTACATGCACGCTAATTTATTCCATGACGTACATTCTTTATTCCGCGTAGAAAATTATCGTCTTACGTGACACGAAAAATTTATAATGTTAAAAAATAGACCAGTGAAAAATGCACATCCGTGTTTCTCGCCCGCTAGATATCGCAACAACGGCTTTAACGCGCATTTCGAAGTCTTCGCTTTTCGCGTGCAGACGTCGTTTCGCCGTAGGACGGATTACCGGTCAATTAACGACGTGACACTATAATTGGTGCGGTAATTCGATCCTCTTACGGTCGGATCCTCCGGGGAAGCTCGCGCAGTTTCTGGGCTCTCCGAGTTAAGCGACCGCGTGCACATCGTTAAATTAAAATCCCGAGGCATTCACCGGCACCGACGTGGCCCGCAGCGGGCCATCCCAGCGCTGGCCGTCTAATTTGTAGCGCATAATATTCGAATAATTTGCACGCGTTAATGGAACCGGCCGTGGGTCCCTCGTCGGCTACGACGCACGGAACTACCTTGCAAATATTTGCGTGCAATAAAAATGATTCGACCCAATAGGTGTCAGACGAAGTCACCGGAAATCGGAGCAAACAAACACAAATACGGAAAGTATCTTCGAAAAAGTTTAATTATGATGATGAAAATGCGTAAATACCTAGCTCAATATATATTTAATTATCGATTTTACGATTATCCGATATCATCGAGAAATCTTCTTTTGGCGCCTGAAACGTTGTAATTTCATATGAGTATGCAACTTTTATAGTTAAATCGATAAGATCGAAATCGATTAATCTAATCGCGGATATATCTTATCAATGACGTATCACAAGCAATTCTTTAATTCTCCCACTCTTCGCAACTGACTTATCTGACATGTCTCGTGCGTTATCTTCGCGCGAACATACGTTGTTTGCAAACTTTTATAAAATAGTGTAGTCGAGAGATATCTCATTTTTTATAATTATTTGAATTTTACCGATGATAATTAATAATAATTAATAATAATAATGGTGCGATCGACGTGTAATATTAACGACGTGATAAATCAAGCGGAATACGAAATACGCAGTAAGTTGAAATTTATATGCGTGACATAATTATGTGAAATATTTTAATGTAAGGTAGCCACTTAAAAATATCTTACTAAGATATACGGATGTAATGTTAAATATAAACACCGACTAACAGACGGACTGCATATTAAGCATTTTAGCAGACGTACATACGTAGCGGACTTAGTCATCAACGTGTGAAGAATATACATCTTCCTCCGAACACTGATTTACGAGCCACGTGCCCGACACAGAAACTTACTTTCCTGGTTTTGCGATTAGTTTCCGCATATATTGTTGCAGTTATTTCCCTAAATGACTACATCTTCGTGTCTGATAAACTTTACGTTACAATGCCTTCGGCAGATTAGAAACAATAGCCACCGTTTAAAATAAACGGAAGTGGTATATTACTGTTTCAAACGTTGATTCTACCATGAATTTCTCGATAATTCACATACGATCATTTAATCACTTTGACATTTCAATTGTTAATATTTCTTTATCTTTAATCTGCGTGACCAATATATTCTACTGAAAAATTCTATTTTGCGATCATTCTTTCCTCAACGCATATTTACTCTCAACGCATATCATTATTATTTATCCTGTTCAATTGGAATTAACGCTTCTTTTATGAAATAATTCGTTGAACATACATACTCTCAACTGTGTTATACAATTTTTGCTAATTGCATGTCGCTATCTACTTATCGCACAAATACTTAACACATCTCTGTTTGGATCCGCAAAGCGACCAGTGCGTTTAATGACATTTCGTACGATTAATGAAATTGACATGGCCCGGGGGGGTCCAATGTATACAGTCTGCCGTATGTCTCCCCACGCAAAGATCGCGCAGCGAGGGTGGTGTGCGCGCAGGTGGGAGGACAGGGAGGACGTACTGGCAGACTGAGGATTACGGTGGGGCTACGGAAGGGGGCTGGAGGAAGCAGGAGGGATGGAGGTGGGACCGAGTGCCGGTGAGCGCGAGCGAGAGTGCGAGAGCGAGAGGACGAGGTGAATAGTGAGTCCGTGAGCTCGAGTGAGTAACTGGGAGTCGCAACTGGGGGATCCACTCAGTCACCACGAGATCGGCAAGCCGAATGGTCAACCGCGCCGGTGGTTCTTCTGAAAAGTCTGCAACTAGTTGAAGAGGGGCCTCCTGCAGGGACCCTGGGTCAGGCGCAGATTAGACCTTCGAATGTCAACGGACGCGATCGTCCACGATTATCTCGATTCGATCGCGGCGCAGGTGGATGGACAATCGCGTCGCTTCAATTTCCCGACGGAGAATAGACTGGCCGATTGATCAGAATCATCTCGCGGGAACGCTGACGATGTGGAGAGTTCTGGTGCGCTGTTATGTCACTTTGACGTCCATCTGACGCACAGTAACGATACCGGTGTCTCAGAATATACGTCCCCATACGGTTTCCGGCGCGCGTCGCGGTTTCGATATCCCGGGGACTACAATATCCTCGCGTGACAGTTCGTCCCAGCAGCGGGACGCGACGGTGAATGATAACGGACGACAACGCCGTTTTTCCGGAGCAACCAGTCGATTCACGGAAAGATCGCGAGTGCGCAAGTGGATGCGAGCGGAAACTGTCATCCGGAGCAGCCGAGGACTCTCCTGCAGGAGGACGAGGAAGAGATGATCTTCGTGCTGCTGGTGGCCGGAGCGTTCGCCCTCGCCACACTAAGGCGGTGTGTGTACATTGCTGAATTCTATCCACTTTCTCTAATACGTATATGTGCACATATATATATATATATATATATATATATATATATACACACACAATATATACATATATATATCTATATATATATATATATATATATATATATACACACGTGTGTATGTGTGTGTCTTATCCCGCTTTCGCACCAAGTCATCTCGCGGAGACGAGGTATTCGGCACGCAAACATTTGCTGCAACAGAAGAAAACGACTCGCGGATATTACACCACGTTTGGCGCGTATTTCGCTCCACTCGCGGCTTCCCGGCATACATATGTTATAACGTTACTTCGCTCCTGGCATTGACGTCTCCGCGAGATCCCATTGCGCTTTCCGGAGGATAAAAGTCGCGGTGCATTTCTGTCACGCGGCTAGTTCGCGGAAACCCAACGAAAGAAAACGGTCGTTCGCATTCGCCTGATCGACGACAAGTTTTACTGAAACATGTATAATGATGCAATGACATGTGAAGAATTCGCGCAGCGTTTTACCGTTTCTCTACACGTGCTGTTCTTTGTCGTTGTCATCGATTGCGTTCAACGGGTCTTGCCCGGCAGACGGACGGTTAGAAAAGAAAAAGATAATTGGATCGCGTTTCACAGCAAGCGGATAAAACAATTCAGGGCGTGCCTATAATTTACGTTATTAGTGTATATTTATTTAAATTTGATATTTATATAGGTTCCTATTCAATTTGCATCTGCGTGCTTGCCTATAGCTATAAACGAGCATGTCTTTTGCAGTTTTTGTTAAAGAATTGCTTCTTTGCTCAACACGCTTTTTTACTTTTCTCTATTCAAACAGGATCATTTCTGTCACAGAACAACCCGTAAAGTACTAGAAAAAGAACCCAAGGTCAACTTCTTACATCGTAATTACATTTGTATGATAATCGGTAATTACATACTACGTTCGAGTATTTTATTATCATATAAATTATTATAATCATGATACGCACAATTTTGCTTAGAAAGAAAAATTAATTAAATATGCAAGTTTTATTCATCTAAAAGAGTTGACGATACGTCTACCGCGAGTCTATATCTCAACTATAATTTTAAATTAAAATCCATTTCATTAATCTACTAGACTTCATATTCTCGTTGAATACAACTCCAAATTAGAGTTTATGTCACTTTATTCTATTTCTTTACTATTAACAGTGATGCGACATAATGTTGATTATAATAAAGAATTAAACTTAAATATTTAATATTATGTGATATGTACTATATGTACTATAATATATCTTACCTATATATTCCTAAATAAAACATTATAGTGAATAATTAACTACTCTAACTCCATAATAATTATATTATATAATTGCAGAAATGCCAGATTATACATCAATCTTAACAATATGGATAAATTTATTAAATTTTGAACCGCAGTATCTCTCTCTCTCTCTCTCTCTCTCTCTCTCTATCCCTCTTTCTATTTCTATCTATCTATATATCTATCTACCTGTTTAATCTCTAAAAAAGGATCAAGTATAAAAATATTTTATTCAAAAGAATTAGTCAATATAGCAGTTGTATAAACTATTATATTAATTTAATTCCAAACTCAAGTGACAAATACGTTTGAGATTTATTTTCTTTAGATAACAACATATTAAGTTTTTCAATATAACATTGAAAAATTAATGTCTAAAAGATTTATGATTCCGTTATTTGCGCAAATAATACAACATTTATGTAACGCAAATTTTATTTCATTCATAGTCCTAATCCAGGCTTCTCTTGAAAAATTTTAGCTAATATTCATACTTTGTTGTGTTATATATTTTTTTATGATTAGTAGAACATTTTTATAATGAGTAAAAAAATTATTTTCGAGTTTTTTATGTTAATTGACTTCGGTTTGTAATGTCAAGATTGTTGACTCGCGCGCTTAAAAAATTCTTGTTTAGCTAATTAATGACTAAGCGATAAACTGAGTCAGTGCATGAGATTAGGTTGCTGATGTGTTTATTTGGCTTCGGTCTCGGAACTAAAGTAGATATCAACAGCTCAATTCATCTATTAACTCTCTATCTCTGATATTCTGATCTCTACCATTAGTACTTCACACATTCATTGATTTGTTTGATTGTGTTACTAGGTAAATTTTTATAAATGTAAGAACAATGCAATACTTTATATATTTCTTTATAACATTTACAAAAAAAGAGTATGTCGTTAATGTAGAAAATAGCAGATCATAATTGTTTAGAATATATTTCTATCTATGCAAAAACAAAAATTTAACGAATATACAATAAATTTATTTATTTTATTAGGTGCACATTAGCTGATACAAATTTGTAAGATTGATGTCATTAGTTATTTCGACTACTTTCTTATCTACGCATAATATTAACCGCAATGAATAATTTATTCAGCCACGTTTATTCATTTGTATCCATTTTCTGCGGATTAAAATTTTTTTAACCACAATAACCGTTGTTCCGCGTCATTGCTATCTTCGAACTTGCCTTACTCATTGCTATTTATTTAATCCATTCATGCTTACCTACATTTTCAACTCATTATAAATTACTATTTGAGTTTTGATAATTAATTCGCAATTAATTTAGTACAAATAATATAGTAATTATACTAATCAATAACGAGTAAACAGACTCAAAAGTAGAATTTCTCAAACTCACTGTGCCCATCGAACAATGAATAGAAAGTAAGATACACAATCCATATTCTCTTTCTATATCCTAAGTAAATTAAAATAGATTTAAAATATTGTAAGAAAATAATTGCAGTAGTGCTTAAGGAGACATTGATCTGAACCGTAAATAGTAGAACAAATCTGCGATGTTGTATCCTTACACGATAAAATTCTTCCCTTCAAAGGATTTGAATCTAACTTTGGGTTGACAAATTTGAATTCGTCACCGAGCCGCCTGTTCTCCACCTCCACGTTCTCCACCTCTCTGTGGAAGGTACGGCCGCCGATAGAAGGCGCGCGTCGTGTTGATACGGGACACACACGGACTGTTTGCTCGGGTACCATCGCGGACCCTTTTTTTCATGTAGGCCCCGACTCGAGTCACAACACTAGTAAAGTTACAAAAGCCGAAGGCAAACAGATCCGGGGACGGGCCTTAACCGGTTTATTAAACACTCGTGCGCCCCGGAGGTGGTCCCCATCGTTGCTGAAAGTGGCGACGACGCGGTCAGAGCGGATGAGGACGACGGCGACGTCGATGCCGCCTGGCCATCTTCTAGAGCTCAGGCGTGTATCACACCGTGTGTTTTCGCTCTCCGATACCGCCTTGCCAAGAGAGGGCCAAAAGAGAAGTTCACTACTTTCGTACGTACGCGAGACGAAAGCGATCTCTCATGGAGGTGGGAAAGAACGAGCGGGAAGGAGGAGTCAAACAACGCTCAGACAAACCTTCTTCTCTTTTGTCAGGTCGAGCCGAGCCGCCGGGAAGCGGCTTTAGATTCTACTAGCAACCGCGTAATTTCCATTTTGGTCCGGTCATAGTCATTATAAGGCATTAATTCCGCCGACGGCGCACTTTTTTTTCTCGCTATTTCAATCACTATAGCTCAAAACTTGTTGACGTCGATGTTTTCGACCGTTATTGAAATAATTGCCATTCATCCGAGAGATCGGTCGATATCGAACGTTAATTCTTCATATGCATAACACAAAATATCTTTTGCGGCACCCTATACAGCACGAAGTTTCTGATGACGAGATACATCGTGGAATTTTTGTACGTCCCTTAGTGTCACCGAGTGACTTACGTCCTACGACAGAAATAAAAGGAAAGTAAGGGCCCAGAGCGACTTGGACGCGTACTGGGTTGTGGTTTTGGGTTCAGCAGGGTTCACTGGACATATTATGGGACAGACGAGCACTCCAGCGTGAAATGAAAATATTATGCCAACGCTCAGACTGCCGTACCACGCGTGACACGAGAATTACTGTATGCATATAAAAATCGAAGATTCATATTTCGTAACGGAATAATTCTGTTGCCGCGCGAATCAATTTTTATGAAAAGATCACATTGACTCTCAGTTGATCAATGTCTGCAGCCATTAAGATTCGATCTAAGATAAAGATTAGACAATAGAGTAATATTTCTCCCTATAACATTAAATGTTGACCTAATGCCATGATTTACCATCTTTCCGTTAAATATAAGGATCATGTCGACTACAATTTTTCAAGTTTTCATCAATTAAAAATTAAATCATATATAAAAAAATAGCTGAATTGCTTTAATACGTTCTTTCTAAATTATATTCGGTTCTTTGAAATTAAATGATATAAGATGCAGTTTATATTAATCGCAATATATATATCTTCATCATTTTAAATCCTTAAGTGTATATGTAAGCAATATTCTTCCTCATTAATACATTTTCAATTAAGATAATCATCATGTTTTGACGTAACTTTTCTATATTTTCACCCATATAAAACTTCTTGCTACTTCTTTTTTACATCATTATCTGATAGGTAGTAACTAGTTTGCATCTAGATATGACAGGATACCAATATGTACATCGGCGATGAAGCATCGAGTGATTTGTCCGACGCTTCGGGGCAATTTTTTGTGCAATTTGTTAATCATGCTTATAATCGAAGAAGTAACACGAACATGTATCAGCAAGGAAAAAGAGAAACAGAGAGAGAGAGAGAGAGAAAGAGAGAGAGAGAAAGAGAGAGAGAGAGAGAGAAATAGTTTGCTAATAAGACAAGGCACGAAAATAAATTCAGTATTATACATTCCTGTATACTTTTCTGACAGGTTCTCTTTTCCGATTACTAAATACTAACCAGCTACCGATCCGATCTAGCTCCTAGACTCCGGCATGGTACGCGACTTTTGTGAAATCACAGTTCTGGAACAAGGGCGACTTCGTGTCATTTCATGATTTACCGATTCGATAAAATCGATCGCGCGTGCGGAAGTTTTACAAATATCAGGGTAACACTTTCTCGCGAT